CAGACAACCGGCTTCGTCACGAGACAGAATCTTCCTCCCCAAAAACAAGATGCGATTATATCGTTCAAGTCCACATTTCTGGGAGAAAACTAAGTTTCCTTTATATACGTTTTGCAGAGTTCTTGCCACATTTATGCTCAAATATTTTATCCTCTTTAAGCCTCTTCTGATGGTTTCTTCTCTTCAAGAACTGTATCTCCTCACAGGTCATTATTTTTATATATAAAGACCAGTGAATTCTGCATATTAACTGAAATCCTACTATTAACACTTTGCTGAATTATTTTCTTGTTCACAATGGCCATTAATTCGCTTGGGGTTTCCAGATACGCAATCTTACCGCCTGTGACTAAAGACGGTCCCAGCTATCCCTCTAACACAGCTCCCTTGCCTGATTCTGCAGGTAAGTGCCCCCAATGCTCTAAAATCTGAGGGAGACTAACGTGCCTTCTTCCTCCCTTCCCAGCCACGGAAGTCCTCTCACGTCTTCTAGTCAGATGCTAGCATTTGTCCCGAGAGAAGCATTTCATCATTTGAAGGAAGCATCAAGACTCCTCTTTCAGTGGCTGTTTTATCAGAACTGAATGTGGAATTTTGTTGAAATGGTTTTCTGCGTATATGAAGGTGGTCGTACAATTCTTTAACCTTTATTAATAACATGCATTCACTAATGGATTTCTTGACATTGAATCATCCCCGAATCTCATGAACACTGAACTTTCCTGTTTCTGCTTTACCTTCTTTGTTAAAAGTAAAGGATATGAGTTTTCTTAATTTCCTTCAGCTCATTTGCAAATATACTGTTAGTTTTCATCCACCTAGAAAACACATTTTTCTGGTGTGGTCTCATCGTCAGCAAGAGTGTTTTTGGTTCCTCCTCATCTTTTTACGTTACAAGAAGCACACGTCTAGAGGTGGCTTGACACCGTGGAACAGAATATAGGACACGTAGAAGAAACAGAGGCAAGCTGGAGACACTGTGCAGGTTCCTCTGCACAAAAGATACGTGGTCTGCCATCCACGTGATGTTGGATGTTTTAAGCAGAAAAGCATCACTACCAGCAATGATTTGCTCTTCAGCCACTAAAGGAAGCCTGTTAAACTCCTCCATTATGATCGAGGGTGTTTCTTTTTCTCTTTAGAGTTTATATTACTTTCACTTTATATTTCTTGAAACTATGTTATTAGATGCATACAGATTTAGAATTAAGACATTTTTAATAGAGATTGGCGTCATCATCACCATTAAATGTCGCTCATTATCTACAGTAATGCTTTAAGCCTTAAAGTCTGCTTTACACTGAGAAAGTCTTCCTCATATCAGCTTACTTTCCCGCATTTCTACTTTCAATGTTTCTGTGTCTATATTCTTAACTTCAATTATATTTCTCAGCTGCACTCACATACATGTTGCATAAAAGAAAATAGTGATCAAAAATTTCAAGAAAATTCAATGTACACAGTTGGCTGTATTTGGCTCCTAGAAGAACAGGTCCACACTCAGGTTATTTCATGGAATCCTTAGGTAATATGTAAGTCGTGCTCAAGCCTTTAAAGCGAACATCTCTCACACTCAAACTACCTCACTTAGAGACGAACTCAATTTTCTGTCGCAAAGGATGACACAGACGTCAATGGAGAACTTTTAAAACTAGAATCACTTTTCCTATTTAAAAGTCCCACAAAACAGTTTTTAATTCTCACCAGTTAGATGAAATAAGAAAAAAAATTTTAGGAAAAAGTCTGATTCTCCGTTAAACTATAATTTTTTCCAAATGAACATTATGATTTCCTTGACCTTTTTGGAACTTTTTCACATCTTCTTGTTCAGGTGGCCTGTATAGACCAGCAGTGAGTTGAGCTGTGTCCTCCAAGATGAAACGGCCAAGCCCTGCCCCCAGGGCCTGTGAATGTGACCCCATCTGGAAGCAGGACCTCGCAGAGGTCACTAAGTGTCATGCAGTCAGCGCGGGTGCAGGGCGTCCAGCGACTGCGGCCTTACGTGACAAAGGAGAGGGTCTGAGCACACAGAGCAGATGCACAGGGAGGGCGGTGTGTGCGAAGGAGGCAGAGGCCGCTGGGGACAGACGGGCACCACCAGGAGTGGAGGAGGCGCGGGACAGAGCCTCCCTCCAGGCCTCCAGGCGAGTCGGCCCTGCCAGCACCTCGACCTCGGACTTCCGGCCTCCAGAAGCAGGAGAGAGGCAATTTCTGTTGATTTAACCTGCCAGGTTGAGGTGACTTGTCACCAGAGCCACAGGAAATCAAGACAAAACACAGTCGTAGGCAATCTGTGCAACGAGGAACCAATGAATAAAGAAATTAATTAATTAGTGGTTGGAATTTAAAGTATCAGACTTCAAAAAAAAAACACCCATGAAGGCCTGTCACACGTCGAGTGTTACTGTTATTAAAACACCGGCCCCAGTCGACCCCGAAGTCCACTTCCGTCCTGACGTGCAGCAGTACGAGCCGTCCACACGAGAACGAGACCCTCCGCGTGGAGACCGCACCCCCGGTGGCAAGCATGTGTGTGTCCTCGGCGCCACTCGCCACGCACCGGCCACAAGGGCTGAAAGCAATTCCACAAGGGAAGCAGCGGTGCTCACACCTACAAGGAAGAAAATGGACACCAGGAAATCAAGTGATTTTTCCATTTTTAACCCAAATTAGGAGAAAGATGCTGACTTGTCGCTTTTCTTCACAAAAATGAACAAACTGACGGTGACAGCACAGTTTACACGTGAGGATTGTTAAGTGGTGAGCAGGCTATTCTGGGGGTCTTTAAAAACAGCTAGGATGACACCGACTACAGGGCACAGGACAGATCACAGGGCCCTGCTGCAGAGCACCGGGAACCATGTTCAGGGGCTTCCAGCGACCTCCAATGAACGGAATCAGAAAGGAATGCATACGTAAGTTTACATAGAGCCAAACCACTGTGCTGTGTACCAGAAAGTAATACGACATTCTACACCGAAAAACCTTTTTAAATAGTTGAAACACTGCTTGAAATCATAAATTCACAAAAATAACCAAATTAACATTAAATGAACTTTTTTACATGTAAAGAGTACATAAATGTCACACAGGATGGAAATGGGGGTTTACACTTGATCAGTGACCGAAGAGAACACAGACACTGCCCACGTGGTCCCTGTGGCAGCCGCCCACACACACGCAGACACACGACCTACAAGCGCTCCCGAAGCTGTTAGACACAGCACGTAGTCAGCGCCTGTCTGGCATAATGCAACTGTCAGAACACATTGAAACAACAGAATTATATGCGTGTGTGTGCATGCACCACTCTGTGTACATGTGTCTACACACAGCACACGCTCCTGGGCACACGCATGTGCACACACCCCACTGCACACGCACGTATCACACAGTCTAACGGCTAGTGACCTGGTTACTTGCGTTCCCAGCGCTCAGGGGCCACGGGCCTCATGGGGAGCAGAGGGAAGACGGGCACGTGCTATTTTATGGTTCCAAATCCACGTGCCCTTTTCTGTGTATAAATCAGACTTCTCCTAGGTTGGCCAGTGTGAATAGGTTCATCACAACCTTGTCATACTTGGGAAAAAAGAGATCAACTTAGATTATCGTGAGCCTTAATAATGATACACTGTACACTTTCTCCCCAGCTTCACCCCGACTGCAATCTGAGAATGGAAAGAGCATTACCGCAGGGTCCCTCGGGTCCCACAGTCTTATCCCGTCACCAACGGCTGTGATGGCAAAAAGATTATAAGCCTGGGGTGGTCGTGTTGCAAATGATGATCCCTGCCATTGCAAGAGGAAAACTCAGGATGTGTTTCTAAAGGCTGAATTAATAGACACTATGTTGATTACATCTAATGCTACGAGCGGCAGAAGACCCGAAGGCTGACACTGAGACACCACCACACAGGCTGTCAGCCCCCGTCCACAAACAGTCTGAAAGACGAACTTAACACGGCGCTTGAGGTCTGCGGTCGGTTATTAGCGTTCCGATCATCAGACCCTGGGACACCCTAGGCAGGTGTCCGTGACAACGACCTGGTGACCACAGCTCATGCTGCATCATGTGGACACTGGTCCTGCCCCCAACCCAGTCCCGGGCCCTCTCGCACCCTTGCCTGTCCCCTCAGACGTCAGAAGAAGTGTGGTCGTGATTTCAAACGTTCTGTGGATGGAACTGAGCTGAAGTCCACCTCCAGAACCAGCAGCCCCAAGCGTGACTGACACACCTGCAGCTCACGGCAACTCCCACCTGCCTTCCGTGTCAGGGGCACCCAACTAGCAAGACAGATTCAGTGAAGTATATCCATCAGCATTTGTACTTAAACGTACGCAAACCTGGAAGTGAGTCTGCATTTACAAAAAGGAAATGAAGGCTTATATAAATTCAATAAAAAGAATAAAAAATGAACAAACATCGAGTCTTAACTCTGCACCAGATAGCAATCTAAACACTTTACATTTCATCCTCTTAACAAACTTACAATTTCACATGAGAAACATGACACACAGGGGTCCACCCACTGCCACACAAACAGTAAGACCAGCGCAGCCCGGCGTTCCACCGGCCGGGGCTGGGTAAGCCAGCTCGTAACTCACAGCCTCAAACAGCCTAACACACGTGCAGGAGACATCTGGAGCTCGTCTCTGAAACGCTGGGCACCCCGCGAGGCCCTGAGTGTCAGAAGAACAAACCGCAGACCTAGTTCGCGAGAGAGGCAGGCGGACGACTGCAGGCACAGCAGCTGACAGCACTGCTCGCTCCTCCAGGCTGAGCAGCGAAAAGTGGGCCAGGACAGAAACGCCGCTCAGGGGTCACACCTTTCCAGGGGAAAAAAAGAGCTAAAAAGCTCCGATCAATCCGACAGAGGCTGAGGGGAAAAACGAAAAAGCAAAGAAAATCTGTGATAAATAGAAAGTGCAGAAGTTTTCTTAAAAGATTGAAGAAAAAGCACAAAATCAGCTCCAACGATGAGTCACCGTAATTGCAAACAGGCTCGGGTCGGGTTTCAAGAAAAGCATTTAAAATACATTATTTTAAAAGCCGAACATGAAGGGCGGGGGGAAAAGTAGCACACGCTAAGTAAAAGGAGGCAAGGTTGGTTATAAATGAAACCTTTAATTTGGAAAGCCATTCCAAATACACCAAAACTCAGCGCTGTGGCTGCAGTCACAAGTCTCCTAGATGTCCTTTTGAGATAAACTGTGAGACAGTGATTTCATCAGAACGGCCGCCGCCTCACCTCCCCAGTCTTTCAAGCTGCGGCTGGGGTATTTCTACACTTTTTCCCAGTCAGGACGGACTAGCCGCGTCCTGCAGAGAGGCTGCTGGCTCACGCAGGCTGCTTCTTACGCCTGCAGAACCCACGTGACTGTCACTCCCTCAGCCCTGAGACTCCCGAGCCCTCCGCCGAGCTTTAGGTGAAAAGGTGCTGCCAGCAAAACCAAAAAGGGGGCCCATGAGATGATCAAAGACAAAAGCACAAAAAGAGTATTCAACGTGTATTAAAGTGCCTTCTCACGTCAAGCATCAGGCTCAGAATGACTGAGTGATGGCAGCAGCGGCACGCATGAGGCTGCAGCACGTCCGTACCCACTGAACACTCAGACACACGGTTTACAAAGGGCGGCGCCATCAGAGCCGGCTTGCTGTATTCTGGCAGATCTGGTGGACAGGACGCGAGTGGGCTGTGGCCACCAGTGCGACGCTGCAGCCGGCGTCGAGGTTGAAGGCCTGCAGGGCCCCGCTCCGCCCGGCAGCCAGCACCAGGCCTGCGTGCGCAGCCAGGGAACGCCGTCACCCAGCTCAGCAGGGAGGGGCAGCCACTCGCTCAGAACAGCAGAGGACGCACAGGCGGAGGACAAGTGACCGCCCTCCCAGGCTCCACGCGGGGCCCTGGTCACAGCCCGCTCTCCGCTCGCTCCCCGGCAGCTGGCCGGAAGCAGCTGGTGGGGTTGCTGCCCTTACAGTCCAGGGAGGCTAGAGGCGTCCAGAGCCACCCAAGTCCAGAGACGGGACGGCCATCCAGCGGGCTGGTCTGAGCTCGAGACTGGACAGTGAGGCCACGAAGTGTCCGGCGTCACCTGGGCAGGCTGCAGGCGGGGGGCGTGGCTCACAGCATGACACTGGTGTGAGCTTTATAAACTGGGCACTTGAGGGACAGTTCATGAGCCTGGGGGTCATGTGACCACCAGAATGACCAATCTTCAGTACACAGTCCAGAAAACGATCATAAAAATCCACAAAGTAGAAAAAGCCCTACGCTCAGTACTACGCCCGATTCCAACACCAAAACACACAGACGTCTTCGCTTGAGGCCAGAATGACCAGGACGCGCTCTGCTACGCGTCCTTTTTCCTGTTTAGCAAAAGAGTTTTGCGTAAAAATATCACATTTCCAACTAAAATATGCTAGAACCCCAATACCTTGTGTCAGTCCTTCTGAAGTTCCAAGTATAAAACTTTTCAAAAGAATTTGACTTGGATCTTTGAATAAATTAAAATTGTATAGCGTTTCTGAAAATCAAAGCTTTGCATCTAAATAAATGAAAATCAATGCCTTTTAATTAAAAATGTTAGCCATAAAAACTCAAAATTTTGTTTTAGAATCAATTTCATACCCAACAGCGACTGCTGTAATTCTCGCCGCCTTCCCCGTGAGGCGGGGCGACCTGCCCAGCCAGCCGAAGGGCGCCCACGACCAGGGCAGCGGCTGCTGTCGACCACGCTGAGTTCCTGCTCGTTCTGTCAGCTGCGCGGACCAGGCGCCATGGCCGCACCACCCGGCGCGTCACGTGCTCTGCTGTGTCTGTTTTACTTCTCCTTTGAGGCCATTCTCACTGCTGAGATGAACCGTCACTCGTGTCATTAACCCAGGACTGTGAGTGTCCCGAGTTCCCAGGGCGCAGCCTGGAGCCGCTCAGCTCGCGCCTCTGCAGGACAACGGTTAGGCTGTGAAAACGCGGCAGGAGAAAGGGTACAGGAATGAAAGCCGTTCACTGCCGATAAACCGGTGATCTCTCCCGTGTCGGTCACGGCGAGCCGGAAGACAGCCGTGCCCCTGCTCCTCCGTCTGTGCCTGGAGGAAGATGAGAGCTGGTCACGGCCTGCCTCCCTTCGCTGCAGCTGAAGAGTCTACCTCAAAACCCTCGAAGACGAGAAAAGTCTTCCTACCATTTAATAATCACATTGTAACACAGAAGGGATAAGGAGTCGGCCCCCGGAGCTTTCCTTCAGGTGACTCTCCTTCTCCCTTTAGCAAAACCTCCAGGAAGAGCACTGTCACACGTCAGACAGTCGTGCGTACGTAAGGGGACACCCAGCCGGTCATGATCCGCGTTTCCACTTAAACAGAAGTTTGCAGTCTTTTCCAAAGGGTACCATAAGCAGTTAGTGTTGATTTAATAAATGCAAGCTCTTGACACCCCACAACAGCAATTTCATGAAGGAAAGGGAGCCCTAGGAACCCCAGGACGTCATCCTGACCCCGGGCAGCGAGGACGCATGTGCCAGAGCTGGGTGAGGCCAGACAGGCGTTCAGTGGTCCCTACAGGTGCGCCCCTCTGGCCGTGCACGACTGTTCCACACATTTACCCGTCACAGACAGCACCAGCCCCACGTACGAAGCCGGTGAAACGCGCTGCACCAGGGCCACGGCCCCAGCCTCCCGAGCCTGCCTCCCGCCCCACCCGGAGCCTGGACGGCCCCGTGGCGGCTCCCACGTGGACCCTGGTGGACGTGAACACTGTTCACACGTAGCTCGCTGCTGCGGCCGCGGCCCCGCGAGCACAGGCCAGGCTGGGACCGCCACCTCTTCATGTCGTCCTTGCGGGTGTCGAAGTGACACTCGAGCAGCTGAAGCTCGGGGCCCGTGGACAACAAGGTGTATGTGTCCACGTAGGAAAACTGCGCCGACTGAACGGGCAGAGGAGGCTGGTCTTTGCCCTGCAGTGCAAACCAGTAATCACCAGCGATGCCCGTCAACGAGGCGCCACGGCGCTGACCACGACCCCCCAGACCGGACGCCGTTTGTTCTGAATGACAGACGTACTTTGCTGGAACCAATTCACCATTTTCATTTCTTCTTGCCGACTTTCCAAAACATGTTATATGATTAAAATTCTACTGTAATGAGTGCTGTGAATTCGGGCCATTTAAAAACTTGAAACTGAAAGAAAATGGAGGCTTAGCAGTCAACACATCACACCAAATCTGTACGTGTTTTAAAACGTCGTCTGAGGAGTGGGCTCCCACGCTGGCGCAGCACGGCCCCCGCGCCGCGCAGCGTGGAGGGGGAGGGGAGGCCGCGGGGTCGAGGCCCAGGGCCAACTCCTTCCTGGGAAACGGCTGCCCAGGCCTCTCACTGCATATCAGGGACTGACCGACCTCCCTTCCTGAGGGGTCTCCAGGACTCAATCCCCTTCCCACAACAGGACCTGGAGAGCAGGAATGCCAGTGCATCCTGGGACGCCCGCCCTTGGCCAGCGCGGGTCCGAGGAGCAGGAGAGATGCCCACCTCCCTCCTGCCAGGCCATGGAGTCGCCATCTCCTCCCGCCCTCGCCCCCCGATTCCACACGCCCTCCTGTAAGTCCACGGAAACAGGCATTTCTCCCCAGGGGTACATCCTCCACATAACACCCATCACTATCACCTCTGCTGTCAAGTCACATTGACAGTATCACTAATAGGACAACAGACTGTCACTCTACTGTAAAAGCATGCTGAATGCACGTCGGGCAGCCTCCGCGGGGTCGCCACTGCCAGACACAGTGCCAGCTCCGTTCTGCGGGCCGACCACGCCCTCAGCTCCCGTCCTGGGAGGGGGCGGACAGCAGCCACCTGCCGTCGTGTCTCCAGCACACGGTGCTCACAGCCCCGCCGTGACCTGACAGGGACAGAGCAGAGGAAGGAAGGACCCCGCCCTCGCCCCGGCTCCTCCAGGAGGAAACCGCCCAGCACAGGCGCCTCCCAGCTGAGGGGCCCGGGAGCAGCGACCCAGCAGGTGACTCACACCTCATTTAAAGGACAAATGCGGCTTCTGAAGGTGATTCAAAAACCCGCGGTTCTTAAAATACAAAGTTCAAAATCACATGTACATTTGTGAGTTACATTTTCAAAGGAGAAACAAAACACAGAAATCTGTGGGCTTCACAATAACGCATTCTAAGGAATCGTTATTCCTTTAAGGTTGAGGGAAAAGTCAGAGGGTTTAGCGGACACGCTCACACGTGACCTGACTGCGGTGACGCACCTTCAGAGCTTCACCTGGAATGGAGGCGGCTGTTCTGGACTGAATCCTGAGGGCACCCACGTGCCCGTCTTTAGGCACCTGAACGTCGGCAGCGCCCAGCACCCCAACAGCAAGACACCCCCGAGAGCCTCTGGAGTGTTTAGGGCATTAACGAGTGAGTCAACAGAGGAAGAAACAAGGTACAGTTCATCTCGCGAGACCGGGCCGAGCGGTGCCTTGCCCGTCACTTCTTCCCAGAACGCCTGGCAGAGGCTCTGAAGTGCCCCCTGCGGTCTGTCTGCTCATTGGGCCGCTGTGGCCCCTTGACGTCTCCTGCCACCTCCACCCCCAGCCCCGCTTTGCGGACGAAGTGCGTCTTGTGATGTAACCTGTCTCCGTGCCCAGCGATCACGGCGTCCGAACCGCTAAGTGCACAGACGACGGGCCCGCCGTCACTCAGCACAGCCCCTCCTTTCACAGGGAC